CATTGCTACCCCTACTTTCCCTTGTCGTTTAGTAGTCTTGATTGTAGATTGATTTTGACACTATGGCGACGCCTGTCAGTCGAGGGTTTGAAATGTGCGTGCGTACGGTAAGCAAAATGAATAACACAATGTCCCATAAAAAGAGCGTGGTTTGACAACGCCCGACAAAAGCAATGAAGGGAACGAGAGGCTCGTGACTCTCTCTATCTCTCTGCTTCCAAGTCGCAAAAACGGTCGCTTTTTTCTTGGACTCTCGCTTCGATGCCGCCGCAGCACGCGTGAGACAGCTGGAGTCGTAAAAAGCTGCTCGCAGAACCAGCTATGCTTTGTTTTTTCCCAATTCTCATTCTCTCTCTGCATTCCCTCTCTCACTACAAAAGGACGATAAATATATGGAGCATGTCCCATGTAGCCTGAGTCTCTAAATCCCTGCCACACAACATTATTCGTACTGCTCTTTCCCTTCCGTCCAACTAAGACACAAAATGTGGTTACCCAAAAACAAACAAAAACTGAAAAACAAATGTAACATCCCATGCATGTTATTGCTTAGGGTATGCTTGTTTTATTGGTGGGGTTCTGAATTTATAATACGGCTTACATTGCTTGTTGTTCTCTAGTGACTATGTGAAGTCATCATCATGTGGATTTTGGTGGGTTTTTAGAAATTAAATGGAAAAGAAATAGGTAGATAATGGTTTTATTTTAATAAATACATTTCGATGACCAATTTACTTTATGGGATAGAATATTGGACAGATAAAAAATAATATACTCATAGAATGCGTGTAGCGGAGATGAGGATGTTGAGATGGATGAGTGGTAAGATGAGAATGGATAGAATTCAAAATGAATCCATTCAGGAGAATTTAGATTTGGTTCCAATAGGTGATAAGATGAGAGAGAGTAGATAAATTTCTCATTATTTTAGTAACAATAGACGAGAGCCTCAAAAGCTTCACTAACCCTATCCTGATCCTTATGAGCAATCGATCCTTAAATTATCTTTATGTTGCCCCAAAAAAAAATTGAAGATATTGAATATCCATTTCACTTGTTCTTATAAGCAAGACTTTAAAAGTTCTCGATTTAGAAAGGCAATTGCTGATTCTGAATATAATCTATAGGTTCCAAAGCCAATTCACATGAAAATATTTTTGTAAAAGTATTTTCATAGGAAAGAACTCTTTCATGGTATTAGTTGTGGAAAAGTTTTCACGGCAATTGGTTCTCGGCAATGTTTGAAAAATCAAACCCGCCAAGGGCCATGTCCAAGTAATCGGTAAACCTTCCGGTTCAACAGGCCTAATTGGGCGGTCCAAAAAGTGTTAAAAAAAAGTACAAAAATAAATCTACAAAAATATGAGATGCATATTTAAATAATGATTCAAAAAAACGCATCTAAATGAAGTTGAAATGTAGTGAAAAAATTACATTTTAAAAAAAAATTTGTGCCCATGGGTATTTTTGAAATTTTTCTAAAAACAAACACTTTCTAATCTTTGCCAAAATGATAAAAAAAAATTAAAAAACACATTACAAACAAAACTCTTATTTTTTTGGAATTTTATATATTTTTAATTTTTTTTTAAAAAATACCTAGCCGAATCACCATAAACCGACCAAAATCGGATCGGCTAGTGCCCCGTTCTTGTTTGATCGGCCGGTTCCGAGTGGGACCAGCCAAGTTTGTGAATACTTATTCTAGCACATGTTTATCCACACCAAGTAGAAAGCCAATTAGTCTGAATAAGACTCCCAAACTTAACACACATGAAGAGTTCTTTCATGTGAAAATACTTACACGAAGATATCTTCTTACAGAGCAACATGTCCTTCCAGAATTGGAAATTACCCCGATTTGACTAGGATCATCTAGTTCTATCGAAATGGACAAATTAGGTGATTTCCTTAATATTTAATTTTTCATATTATTTTTTATGAAACATCTTAGGATTTTCTTTCTTTTGTCTATAAAGTTTGGAATGAAAAGTATTAAATGAGACCATATACCTTTGGTACAAGGTGGTTATAGTCAGTCTTTGTTATTGGATGTGAAATTAGATGGTTGTATTTTTTCTATTGACTAAGTACAAACTTTCAAATTTTTTTTTTTTTGAACTTTGTGACATATCCAAGTTATCAGATTTCATAATGGATGGTCATAAATAATTGTAACCTCCTTATGTCAAATGTAAATGGTTTCATTGTGTATAATTCCTTTTCACAAAAAAAATAGCAATAAAAAATAAAAATAAAAATTAAATTTTGAGTTCTTGAATATAAGATAGTCCCTACTCAATAAACATCATTATTGTGAATCACATATATGTGACCTGTTAAATATTCTTGTTGTTTAGGATGGTCTCTTCACTGAGAAAGTTATATCCTCAATTGGGTCCTACAAAGCCTTTAGCATGCTTCTTTCCCAATGAAGTGAATCTAGATGCCCTCTCACTAAGGCATAATCTTGGGGCTTTTCAAATTTAGGTTGATAGCCACGAGAATGTCCTCTGTGTTCGAACAATCAAGTAGAAAAGAAACGTAGCAATTACAAGATATTTTAAGATTGAATAGGGACTACTATCTTATGTTCAAGAACTCAGAAATTCAACTTTTTATTTATTTTATTATTATTATTATTATTTGTGAAAATGCTTAATTCTAAATCGTAGTCCATATTTTTTTCAAATAAAAAATATCTTTCTACATAAGGTGTCAAGAACTCAAAATTCAATTTCTATTTTTGTGAAATTGCTAAGTTCTAAAGTGTAATCCAAAATTTTTCAAATAAAAAATATCTTCCAAATTAGGTCTTGCACCCAAGTAGATAAATATATGCTCTCATGAGCCTGCTCTTTTAGAAAATGAATGATTGCAAATTCAAGAAAGCACCTACAATATTCTTTTAAAAGAAAATGTTTCCATTGAAAGTCTTTTGTATAGGGATTTTTGTGTCTTAAGATCATTTACCTTTAGTACAAAGAGGCTATAATTATCTATAGCTATTCAATGTAAAACTTGACAGTTTGGATTGTCACAAAACTTAAAATTTTTTTTTTTTTGAACTTTGAACGTAATTAATAAAACAAATGCAGCCACCCATTTTCACATCCAATAGTCAAGATTAATTGAAACCTCAATGTACCAAATATAAATGGTCTTATTATATACTTTTTCTTTTGTATATTCTCTAGCTAAGGTATCTGTTTTCTTTCGACGTGAGAACCATCTACTAACACTACAGAAAAACTGAAATGCTCTTCGTAGGTGCTCTCTCAAAATCAACCTAACACGTAATTTATCAACTGCAATGCTACATCTCAAAATTCGATTCCTTCCAAAGTACCGAAAAAAAAAAAAATCAAGGGATTTTTCCATGGAGTGGGTTTATCCTAATTTATTTTTGGAACTATCCAAACGATCTTGAAATCAACTAAATAATTGCACAACGGAAAATAATCTTAACCATTGAAACCCATATATGTTAATCCCTCAAATGAATGTTACGGAGTAAATATTTGAAGATCAATTTGATTTACATTATATTTTTTCATTGAAATCAAAATATTTTTTATTGATCATAGGAAGCAACAAAGTTCCTCTGAAACACTTTGTTAGGCGCTCGCCTTAGCCAAGGACTTAGCCGTTCGCCGAGGCAAGTTATTTGGCCGAGTCAGAGTTGACCCGACTGATTTTTATATAGGGCCATCAGCCCTAGAAAAAAAATAACAAATAATGTAATAGTAGTAAACGTAAAATAAAACTAAAAACAATCTAAAAGAGTCCAGATAAGCTTGTAAAGGGGAAAAAGGATTTAAAAAAATTGATTTTGAGTTGGAATTATTTAAAAAAAGGGATTGTTTACCACAACAAAATTTTCTTTTACTGCAACGAGGTCACAGTGACTCTAAACTTTGGAATGTCAAATCCTAAAGCATAGAATGTGTTGCAAAGATCCATAAATTTTCGAGTAAATTACGTGCGGATTTTATTTGGGTCAGGAGAGGCGGTCAGTGTCTCATTTTTCCAAAATTATGAGTACCCCCACTCTCCCCTCCACAACAATCTGGTCTTTTTTTTTTCTAAGTTATTTTTCTATCCGACAAAAAATACACCAGACACGGGACTATGGTTTTTGCAATATCTAGAGATGTCTGCAGTCCTTTTAAGTGAAGTGATCTTTGCTTTTTGGTGTTCGAAATATTGAAAAGCTATAGTATCCCCAAAACCCGGTGAGTCTTTTTTTTTTTTTTCCTGTCATTTCACTTCTCTCTCTTTCCAACTTTCGAGCCTAGGGAAAAAAGAGCTTTTAGGGTTTTGAAGATACCAGATAGCTGCCTGGTATTTCGAACATTAGATAACAAAGAACATTTCACTAGAAAGGAAGCAACCAGTTCGGTGTTGCGAACTAGTTCACTTTAAAGGAAATGTGTTGTCCGTAATGTGATTGCCAGACAACCTTGGTGATTGCGAAAATAATATCCCCTCTGCCTGGTATTTTCATTTCCAGACATGAAAGCAATTTAGAAAAAAAAAAAAAAAAAAAAAAAAAAAGAATAATAATAATAATAAAAAAAAAAAAAAAATCAGGGATGCTTCGTAATTTTGGACAAATGAGACGCCTGACCTCGTTGTTCCAACCTTCACAAAATTTAAAAAGAAAAAATATAGATTATGGCTACCAACATTTACCAATTTTTCGAAAAGTATCCAAATTATATAAAAAAGCATATGGCTCTCCTCACGTTTTCCCAAAATCAGAATGTATTTCTAGTAAAATCTCCGATATAAAGTCCAGCCCCTCCCCCCCCCCCCCCCACTCNCCACACACACACACACACACATACTACACACTCTACACACGACAACGTACGACGTACTACCTAGACACGACGACG